AGCAGTGGAACAGGTGGAGAAGTTCATGTATCTCGGAGTCATATTTACTAGCAATGGAAAGTTTGAGGAAGAGATCGACCAGAGAATTGGAGTATCCAGTGGCGTTCTGCGTGAACTAGCCGATTCATTGTGACTAAAGCAGAGTTCAGTTTGAAAATTAAGCTTTCGGTGTTCAAGTCGATGCTTATCCCCATGCTTACCTACGGTCATTAGTCGTGGACCATCACTGAAAAACTTCGAACCAGGGTACATACAGGGAATACTGACATCCGAAAGAGCCTTAGTATACAGCCTTTGCTTCTTCAGATTGAGACATCACAGCTGCGATGGTTTGGGCATGCGTTGCGAATGTCTCCAGAAAGGAAGGCTAAGCAGCTGCTTCTTGCAAATCCGACCGGCAGAAGGTCCAGGGGACGGCCGAGATTAACCTGGTGCAAACATATGGAAGGAGTCTGTTACCAACTCCAGTTGTCTTCTGCCGAAACCCAGAATCCGGCACAGGATCGGGAACGTTGTAGTTCTGTCTGACGCGTTTGCCTCCGCCACCCGAAAGGAGAAGCGGCGATGGTAGATGAAGATGAAGATTTTGCACTCGACTGTGGTTTATTAGATGATACGTATAATTTGATTTCAGAGATTGGATCTGCTGTTATTCAATCTTATGTTGACCTTGAATAATGGATAATTTGTTAGTCAAAATATACTTTGTCGTTTTAATGTGCATTTCTGGTGCTTTGACAGCTCAACATGGCCATATTTAGTGTGAACTTTTTTGCAGTCATAGAGATGACAGTGTTTTATGACGTAGATTGCATAGCAAAAAGTCTTTGATGTGCTTGGCGCCTCTCTTCCTGAGAAGTTTTCATCATGCTTTCTAAGTTTATCTTGCGGCTGTAAGATCAACATTTATCGACGTGTATGAGTAGATAGAACACATGTTAAAGTTCACCAGAGTTTGATGTCACTGCTACATAAGGAACACTTACCATGTAGAGACTAATAAAATGCAGTCTTTTCTATGGTTAAGTGCGGGTTTAAGAGATTCACTGGAGTTTTCGAAAAATATTTCCTAAGGCTGTTTTGAATTTTCTGGATATGCCTCAGCGTTGATTAAGGATTGAAACAACTCTGTGCTAAGCCTTTCTCGCCGAATGCATTCAGTGGCGAAAACCGAATATTTTGATCATGTCGTGAGAAGGTATGGTTTTTGTTTGAACCTAGTCAGATTTTGTTCTATTTAATGTTCTAAAGTACTAGACAATAATGAAAATTGTTCTTGTCGGATTACCAAAACGTAGTCAGAAACATACAACAGCTATACCATTATTACATAACAGATCTTGAAACAAACATATCCTAGTTATTGTTTGAGTAAATATTTTAAGTTATTGATGGAGTATTAAACAAGTAAATTATCTCTCATGTTTTACTGGATATAAGTAATTAGTTACCGTCTTGGATGTGGATCATGTTCCACTTCAATATCATAAAGCTCGCTGTTTTTATGAATGGATAAATGCTTCGATCATCCGTTGTTCATCGATTTCACCTTGTGTCGTATGTGCATATTTAATAGTTGAAATTTATTATCTCGGAAAGAGTAGTAGTGCTGAATTTCAAAGCTGTTACGGTATCCAGTGCTTACGCACTAGCAGTCGCGAATATTAACAATTTTGAAAAGCGTTTTATACTGCCGAATTATTATTTTATTGTTTATTGAGAATTAATTAAATAAAAGTAATTTTGATTCATTGGTTCTATGCAAAAATGATAGACCAATGTTAAAGCATATATTCCAGGTATAAGGGTAATCAGTGACTTCTTTTCCTGAGGATGGAAAAAATTATTTGATTGAAGAGTCGTCCGTTGGAATTAAGATTTAAACACTGATGTATTATTTGTGACTAGAGCTACATAATCGAAATAAGTTTAAATTTAGTTAAATATTAAATTTGCAGTTTAGTGTTACAGCGATAATTGTTTTCGTTCGAGATTTGGTTGTCTCATAACATCAATGCCTATTATGTATGTAGAGAGAGGCACTATTTTTCCCATATGCTGCAGTGCCAGGCTACGAACAATGTGAAATCTTAACTCGTTTAAACAAGTAAAATTGTCTCTATTTGGCACTGATTTACAGAACGCCATATCGCATGACGTTATTTTTGGCTTATTGATAATCAATGAGAACCTTCAACTTATTCCATGAATTTCGTAATAACCCAACACTGAAATCACTTTCTAAATAATTGATATGATTAACGATTAGCAGTACTGTGACATGCAGAAAAGTTTATAATTTTTTGAATATGAAATTACTGGCCTAATATCTGATGATATGGATGAATATGTGAATTTCGAATGTGCATTGCTGATATTAAATTCTCTGTGTTCGATCGCCATGATCAGACTGACGATAAAATGAGTGACAGTTCCTGCTTATTTTGTCGCGTTCATCTGCTGTTACCACGGGGGTGGGTAACTTTTTCGACTCGTGCCTGAAAGTCTGAACCGGTGATAGTGTGTCGCAGTGATCGTAGTTATGTCATGATGTAGTTCGTTTGGCGCATTTTATTTATTACTGTACAGATTGTTCCACCGTGGAATACACGAAGATTGAAGGAGTAGACAGATTAGCTTGACGCGCGTCAGATATCGCGGATATAGCATTTTATAGGTTTCTGGTGTATTCGATACTTGAAAAGTGAAAAATAATGTAGTTAGGTATCTACTCATTTGACGAATCGATCTCCCCATTTATGTTTTCTTTTTCTGTCTAAATCAGAGTCCAGCTTGACAGGATCTTCTCTTCAGATAATTGAATATTGTTTCTTTGTGTTCTTTTGCTCCATAGTATATTGGGTTTTCTACAAGCCTTGTGCGATAATCACTAGCTGATGGCGAAGATATTTGCCTACCATCATTAGACAGTTTTCACTGACAGGATATTTCAAAATGACAGTTTTGAATACTTTCACGCCAAGACTATGAATGGCAACCAATGATCCACTGGTCTATGAGTGGACAGCCTCAGTTGCATGATATTATTTAGTGGTTGCTGTTGAGATGAAAGCGCTAACCATTCTTGAATTATCATACCGGTCTGTTAAATTTCAGTTAAAATTTTGTTCATGAAAGGGGAAAAATGTATCTTCTCATGTCAGATATTTTAAACTCGATGGCGTGGGGTAGCTACTGGGATTGGCGGCATTCTC